TAATATAGTGCAGCATGGTGGCACGGTGGTTAGCACTGTTGCCGCACAGCAAGAAGGTCCTGAGTTCAATTCCACATCAGGCCGGGGTCTTTCTGTGTGGAGTTTGCATGTTCTCCCCGTGTTTGGTGGGTTCCTCCGGGTACTCCGGCTTCCTCCCACCGTCCAAAGACATGCAGCTTGTGGGGATAGGTTAATTGGATAATCCAAATTGTCCACTAGGTGGTCGAATGAATGTGAGTGCAAATGGTTGTCTGTCCCTGTGTGTTGGCCCTGCGACAGACTGGCGACCTGTCCAGGGTGTACCCTGCCTTCGCCCTATGACAGCTGGGATAGGCTCCAGCGCCCCCCGCGACCCTGAAAAAGGATAAGTGGAAGACCCCTGTCTTTCTTGATCCATATTTTTCACATATCTTCTGATTTTTTAGTTTTCTTTAATAAGGAGTTGATCCAACAAATGTACAAAACAATTTGTAGTGGTCATTAGGGTATCTGGTATTTCTATATTGTCACGGTCCCCGTGTCTCTCTGGTTGGCCCACGCTGGCTACAGGTTTTGTTGTTGTTTGTTTTGGTTTTCTTTGTCTCTCCTCCTCCACTCTACCTGGGCTCTCGCTCTTGGCCCCCGCACCCGTGTGATGGTATCCACCTGCGGCTGATCTGGCTGATTTCCCCAGCTGCTATTTAAGACAGTGGCACAGAGCAGCTCACCGCTGGAACGTTGAACCACCTGAGTTCGTGCTTGCGGCATATTCAAAGAAGAATCTCTTACATGTATTTTGTTGTGGAACTAACCTTGAACTTCTGTCTGTAGATTCTGGACCGAATCACCGGACCTGTCCAAGTGGGGCAGTGTGTGGAGTGTTGGAGCGAGTGCGGCTGAAGAGGAGTGCGTGTGTGCGGAGGAGCGGTGGCGGTGACTGAGTGGAAGAGGAAGCGTGTGTGTGGATCCCCCCCCCCCCCCGCCCCCCCCCCCCCCCCCCCCCCTTCTCTCCCTGGAGCCCTGGACCCCCTCCCAACTCACTGTACATATATTTTGCACTAAGGTGATCCCCTATTGTAAATAAATCCCCTTTTGTGTTTCCTTGAAAAGAACTGTCTGCGCGTGAGTCCGTTCAGTAGCCATGACATATATCACATTTATGCACAGCACTGCACTGATGGGTATTTGTAAACACACAACTACTGATGCTTCAGATACTAAACTAACAAAGAATGCCATGCTCCCATTTTTGCCCTTATTAGCATAATAGTTTTCAGTTGAGCAACACAATTGAAAAATGGTTTCCATCTGCAGATGGCTGACAGTTGAGACAAGAGGCCTCTTTGCAAAAATGTAGATCACTCTGTAAAAATCATCTTTGATCATCAGTCATCGTCAATCGTCAGTTTAAAGTGTAGATGTAGGTCAAACACTTCTCCTTTCATTAGGGTCGGTTTTTCTGTTCATATTGGTGTGTGTCGTGTGTGGTGTTGTGTGGTGTGTGTTGTGTGTTTGTTTGTTGTGTAGTGTTGTGTGTGTGTGTGTGTGAACACTACTGGTTAAAGGTTTGGTCACTGCAAATTATTTCGTTGTAAAACACATCTGGTCCATCTCTGCAGTCATCTTCAAAGTGTCAGCCAGTTTCTCAAATTTCACAAAATTACCGGTTTTAAGCAGGTTCCCATTTTTATCTGGATATAACTTCCTAAAAGACAAACAGAGTGAGATAAAGTTAAAACATTCATTGTTTGCTCCTCATATTTTTGAAATCACATTTTGGCTGAATTTTATACCGTAGTGAAATTTAAGCAATGTGTGGGATGTGTTAACCTGGAACTGGAGGAATAGGAAATGGGTGGACCTCCAGGGCAACAGAAAGCTACATGACTGTGACAGCTCATTATATCACAGCGGAGTGCGATATAATGAGCGGTATGTATTATTGTAGGGTCTACCTTACAATATAAAGCGCCTTGAGGCGACTGTTGTTGTGATTTGGCGCTTTATAAATAAAATTGAATTGAATTGAATTGAATTGAGTGGCAGATACAAAGACTGTACTGCCCTATATTGTATCTTTTTTTTTTAAATAATTGCCTGGAATGAGTCTTGAGTTGAATGCTTTTAACAGGCAAAAAATACTTCAATAAGTAAATAAGTAAAGGTTAAATTTTTGTATTTTTTCTTTTTTTGCTGATCCGAAAATTGATCCGATCCGTGACTTAAAACCGTGATCCGATCCGAACCGTGAGATTTTTGATCCATTGCACCACTACCATTGAGTAGTTCTCACACTCACCTGACCTAAATGCAATAGAACACCTCTGGGGTATTGTGTTTTGATCTATCTGACACCACCATGTAAAGTAAATGGAATAGCTTGCTGCATCATTTTTGATTTTGATTTTCTATGATTCATTCTTTTTTTTTTTTCTAAATTCCATTTCTACCTGAACTATTTATTGATGGAATAATAGTTATTTAAGAAATATATATTTAGAATACCTGTTTTTATTGTAGATGCCTTATGAACACTTTATTACTATATTAGACCACACGTGTACATGTTGGCTAATATAATTTATTCCTTGGAATTAGGATAAATTCTTAACATTTACTTCAGTTAATGACATTTAACTTAAACTGGGCTTTTATTATGATAACCAGAAGGTTAATACATAGTCACAGTGGACGTCTAAGCAACTGAATGGTGTGAGTTGTGTGCATCTCTGACACAACTCACACAACAAACACTGGTATTCCTACCTGGTAGTGATGGGATTTCCGGCTCTTTTTAGAGAACCGGCTCTTCAGGTTGTTTTGTTGCTTTAATTAATTTATTATTAACAATAATATAAAATTATGCACAAAAGGAATTACTAATGTAAAAAAGTGGTTTTATTTATATATGTTTATATATAAATATATACGGTGGCCCCTAGAGACAAAACACGTACAAACTCCAAAACACATTTCTAGCGTTAACTGAACTTCCAAAACAGAGCTACCTAGATCACTTAAATTACACAATTGAAAGCATATGTGTATTGTTTGTGTATTTATACACAAGCACTCATATATATTCAAATAATTTAAAAAAAAAGTCATTTACCTGTTACTACCACACACCAAATCCGGTCGTTGGTACTTCGCTGGCTTGTGTAGCCACTAAGTAACAAAAGCTCAACACTGCCGCCAGCATCCTGGAGACACTTCTGTTGTTTTGTACGTGTTTGGGAGTTTATGTGCTTTGTCTCTAGGGGCCACCGTAAATATACTTTTATTTATTCACTCCACATAAAATGTAATAAATAAATCATATAATACAAAAATCAACTATTCACATTTCAACTTTTAACTATTTAAATTTTCAGCTTTTTCCTTTTAACAAATTTAAAGTGAAACAACACAAAACACTGCAAACCACAACACAATTAAATATAAATTAAAATATGAAAACAAAAAGAAGATGCATATTCTCTGTCATATGGGCCTGCATGAATAAACTTTCTGAATCCTTTATCATCTGCAACTGAAAATAGTTGTGGATGATTACTAAAGTTGATGTTAAATAGCGAGTTTATTGAAATGTTTTGTCTATTTCAGCAGCTTTTAAATATCATACTTTCTCTGGTGTCTTCAGTAAAGCTAAAACAAGAGTACATTTACGTCCTTGGTTCTTTCAGGAAAACTTTTTGTTGAGATTTGCTGTTATACTAAAAAAAAAAAATGTATGTGCAGAAAATCTGATAGGTATTCTTCTATTGGAGATGAGGACTTGGATGCAAAAGTGCTGGACATTCAGCGTCATCACCCAAATGCCGGCTGCAGAATGATGATGGGACATCTACGATCCAGAGGCATACACATTCAAAGTAAGCTGATATTGTTTGAATATCCAAACACCAGTTTCTGGCCCAGAAAGCATGTGTCAGTGTGCCATGATGTGATATTATAATGTAGGCATCAAAAATGACTAGGCATGTTCGCATCACTGTTATGCAGTTATGTTCCTGTTTGAACCAGTTTGTACACGATTCTCTCTCCTCAGTAAATCTGTACAGCACCTGGATACTTACCTGAAGCAATGAAGATCTGTCTCATAAGCATTACAGTGTTTACAATACAGTCTTTTTGTAGTTGGTAGTACTAAGACATGATCTGTTTGTTAATCAGGATTTCGACTGATGGATTCAATGAGTCAATCCAGAAGGGGTCATGATGCGACGGTTATCTAGTCAGACTGCAAGGCATCGTCAGTACAGTGTACCAGCACCAAATCACCTTTGGCATATCGATGGAAATCATAAACTAATTCGGTCAGTACTTGCATCACCTTTTCCCTATTCCATTGAAGTAACAGGATGCATGTATAAAATTGTAAAATGAAGCCTTGAGTTTGTAAATGTCATCTTAAATGCTGTCATATAAGGCCATTTACAGGATTCGCTATAGTCATGTCTGAGGCTTTACATTATGCATGTGATTCCTTGCACTACAGATCTTTCTGTAAAGTGTTTAAGTTTCCCTTCTATTATTTCTTTTACATTCCTGTTATAACATGTTGTCACTTTATATGGAACTGAAATATTGGTCTTGCTTGTATGTAACTGGGGACATGACAATGTTTTTTCTTTTTTTTTAATTCTGCCTTGTCAGATGGAGATTTGTTGTCCATGGTGGGATAGATGGTTTTTCTAGGTTAATTGTCTACCTTAAAGCTGCCACCAACAACAAAGCTACAACAGTTTTTGATGGTTTCTTGTCAGCAATCAGACAATATGGCATACCGTCAAGAGTCCGGTAAGAGGTGTTTAACAAATACAGTATGCCAAAAAACTCTGTATTGGACAGTAGTTATATTCAGATTGTTACTCTCACTGACTCGGATCAAAACTTCTCTACTCTTTTTTTCAGGTCAGACAAAGGGGGGGGAGGTTGCACATTTCATGGTGCAGACAATGGGGGAGAACAGGAACTCTCACATTACAGGCAGAAGTGTTCACAACCAGCAGTAAGGACAGGTAAATTGTCTTACATTTTTTGGCACACATGCAATTGTAATAAAACAAATGGTTTCTGAGCATAATTGACTGGTTTCACAGCACATTAACACTACACTAATAATTGACTTGGAAGGCTGTTGACGTAGGAATGCCTGAAAAACCATAAATGAACAATTTCCCTCACTGTGTCTTATAGCATTGAGCGCCTGTGGAGGGATGTATATGAAAACGTCCTTGACCTTTTCTACACAATCTTCACCCAGCTGGAGATTCAAGGACTGCTCAACCCTGGTGAAGAAATTGACTTGTTTGCACTGCACAGATGCTTTTTGCATCACATTCAACATCATCTTCAGTCATTCCAGGAAGCATGGAATCAGCACGGACTCAGAACAGCAAACAACCATTCACCTCTGCACCTCTGGTTGCTGCACAGAAAGGAGGGACAAGATTTGTCACAGGTACATGACTATTTGATCCATATTTGTTCTTGTATGTAAAACTCTGCTATCTGTAGTGGAGATGAGTTTATTTCTACTGTGAAAGTTGATGTACCAAATATTTCTCCTGTAAGTGGAAATGTCATTGTGTCAAGCCATTCTCTCCTTTTCTCATCTGTCAGGTATAGATGGCAATACTTTAAACAAAGTTAAATTTGTTATACCTGAAGAGAACCAATCCTGACCTAGAATGGGTGAATGAATAATTAGTTGGTAGCCAATGCCTAAGAAACTCACATAGGCCCTGACAGACTCAATAAGTCCATCTAGGAACAGCTGCAGGAAACACCTCTTCAGTTTAGATTTAAAACATGTGCATGCTCTTTCAGGTTGATGAGGATTATGGTGTGGACTGGACAGGACCACATAATCACCGCCCATCAAATGAGATCACCATTCCTGAGATTCAGCTCCCACGTGCACTGAATGAACGAGGGCTTGCTGTGCTACCAAACAACAACGTTTCACTCAGTCAAGCTTTGGATGCCTACTGTGAAACTGTTCAGTCACTCAAACTTATGTTTGATACCACACCTTAACTCTTCAAAGTAAGCAGGTGCAATATGTTTACACCCCTTTTTTCTACATCTATGGCTTTGTAGCTAATACTGACTCAAAACAGCATAACCAATTTCATTTTCAACAAAACAACAGTGAGTGGCTATAAAACAGGATTTGTTTTATACAGCTGTCACTTTAATGATATTCATTTCTTGGATTGTACAGTACATGTCAACTCTGAGCAGATTTAATACAATGCAACACAGTACAGTAGTGTAACATCTTAATGCAAATAATTTTTCCAGTAGCGAGATAAACTAAACATACTTGTGCTAATTTATAATGTACAGTGAACAACTGATTTTGTTATCTGAACTCTTCGTTTATATTAAAAAAAGCCATAAATGCTCACCTGTACTGTGTATTTTTCACTGTCAAGTGTATTAAAAAGAACTAGAACTCACTAGATTGTCCGTTTCTTTGAACACTGAATACAGTAATGTGATGCAAGAAAGAAGAAATGGTCTAATCTTACCATGTGGTTATGGAATCAATCCTAAACCAGACCAAAACCTGAGTCAGTAGAGTTGAGACACACCTGAATGTCCATTAGAAATGACTCATAGGTACAGTAGTGTGCAGGAAGACGTAGTACTTCAAAACAGGTGGAAGACTGCTGTTGACCACTTCCACAGTCATTTCTCTCGGCAAGACTTCCCATCCTGTCCAAAACTTGATGAGGGCTTTTTGTTGTGCACAAGATGCTGCAACAGAAGATTGTTTTAAACTATAATGACATCCTATATTCATTATTTTGAATCTTTTATGGAGAAATACCATAAAAGATGACCACTTACATATAGGGCATAGGGCTGTGCGATATGCACCAAAATCTCATATCCGATATAAGAATTCTATCGTCCCGATAACGATATAAATCACAAAAAATGTAACATTTTCTGTAAATTCTGTGAATCTCGACTTGCGTGAAGTGTTTCCAGCTGCGCTGTCATGTAGCTGGAGTTGAGTGTTTTAACCGATGCATGAAACTATACATTTTTAGACATAAGTTGTAAAGGCCGCCGTTTTCTTTGTGAGTATTTATTACACGGCGTGCTGCGGGGAAAAGCCTGTTCTAACGTTTGAGTCTAAGGTTTATTTTTTAGCACCTGGCGGCTCTTTTTTAACTTCTCATCTCGTAAATAATCTGCTCTTTCACGTGATTCGTTTATTTTGAAAAGTCTCAACAGGATCTTGAGCTTTATTGTGAAAGGTTTATGTGGAACATAAACAAGCGGTGTTCTGGCTCACCGTCAAACAGTCTTGTAAGATCTGTGTTCCCTGAAAAGAGTACACTAGGTTATGTGTGCAGTATGAGAAATCCAGGCAGTAATTTTAACACAATTAACTCATTTACATAACAAAACATTTTCTTTACATGATGAAATATTCTCTTATTTAATCCACTATAGGGGAGACCGGGGATAGTTGTAACGTGGGTCAGTTGTAACACTTCCAATTTCTCCAATCAGGGCTAAGTTTCAAATGATGTGACTCATCCTGTGCATGCCCAACTCAGTTCTGCTATCACATGTGAAAAATCAGCACATTTTGTCAAACACAGACAATTTAACACAAAAAAAAGTAATTTGTATGCCAAAAAGTAAGTTTTTCTACTTTATTTCAATTTCTAATAGCATTATCTGCTTTGCAGTTAAACTCATCAAACTTAAATTATGTTATTTGTATGTCTATGGGGATATATTCTGTGTAGGTCTTTAGTGCTAATGTTTTAGCCGTTGGCTGTAATGTTAGCTAGTTCATGGCTATAGGAGTCTGGGTCAGTTGTAACAGCAACAGTCTGGGTTAGTTGTAACAATAATGCAGATGTTACAACTTACCACACTATTACTTTAACTTATATTAAACAAGTTGGGCAACGACATCAGCAGAGAGAGGTTCACTGGTCGCATTTGTATATGCGGTTAATGCCATTGGCAACACAATTCCTCCACTGTTTGTGTTCCCACACATACATTATGCAGACCACTGTGTCAGAGATGGACCAGTAGGAAGTACTGGTAGTGGAAATAAATCAGGATGGGTGCAAGAAACAGATTTCCTCATCTTTCTGAAGCACTTTGCAAACCACACCAAGGTAAGCCAGATAAAAAGTAATGGAATTGCGATGCTGGTGAACAACTACATTTTTTCAGCTTCATTGTTATGTTCAAAATTGGTGCAAGAGTTGTAGGTTATAATGCCCACTGAGCCAATGAGGCCAAACTCAAGGAAGACCAACCAAAATTAATGAAATATTCAGTTGCAGAAAATTCCATAATTTGTCTTTTTTGGGGGGTTGGAATATGTTCAAAAGCTAGATTTCTGCATTCTGTCACACACACACACAGCTACATAAATGGCTCTAAGTGCATTCATGTGTTGAATAAACAAAGATTACATGTTAATGTTTTGTTAGTACCCTTATTTCATTGTGTTACATTTCACCCCAGGATATGTTACAACTAACCCAGACTATGGGGTTAATTGTAACATTTCACTCTTTGTGTTTGAGACCATACCATGCAATGGGTAATTGTGCTGCAGAGAAAATAGCTGCACTATTTAATAGCAGAGACATGTAAATACTTTGCATTACATTTTGAATCCACTACCTTAAAAGAGCTCCAATTTACAGACAGAAATGTCAAAAATGTTACAACTATCCCCGGTCTCCCCTACTTGTCCAAGCTAGTTTATACATACCAAAATTCAAATGCAAACCAGACTGTACTAGAGAAACTGCCTTTGAGAAGAAGAATCTCTTCACCCCTTCTCCAACAGCAACATCCCCTAAAAGGAAGAAGAAAAAAAAAACTTGTGAAGTTTCGAATTAGTCAGTCACTGGATTTCTAATGTTTTCCCAATACAGAATCAATACCTTCCAGGTTGCATCTGACAGGGCCCGCCCACTCTACCGTTGGGGCTTTGTAGAGGGAGATAAGTGATCTCTGTTGATCCACAATACTTTCCCCAAGTCCATTTGCAGGACTACTGCCTTTCTGGTCTCTATACTTTGAAAGTAACTCGGACTTGTAGAGCCAGGCTGCTCTGGTTGCATCTTGTTCACATTTCCACTCTGAAAGGTACACATTTGTATGGATCACATGAATCAAAAGAAATAAAATATATGTATTTTTTGCCATTTGTCTGGTATCTTCCTAACTTAATTCCTGTCACTACCTGGTTTTTCCCCTAGAAGTGACTTTTCCTCATCTTGATGAGATGCATCTTCCTGCACTACCACCATATCACTTGACGATTGCTCTGCTCTTGCTGAGGTTATGGTGGATTCCAAGATGATACTATCTGGTTCCTCTACCCCGCAGGACAGATTCCAGGCATCACTGTTGCTACAGGATGGGACCTCTGACCTTGCTGTTGTACTACGAGATCTGCTAGCCCAGGGGTGGGCAATTCCAGGCCTCGAGGGCCGGTGTCCTGCAGGTTTTAGATCTCACCTTGGGTCAACACACCTGAATCACATGATTAGTTCGTTACCAGGCCTCTGGAGAACTTCAGGACATGTTGAGGAGCTAATTTAGCATTTAAATCAGCTGTGTTGGTTCAAGGACACATCTAAAACCTGCAGGGACACCGGCCCTCGAGGCCTGGAGTTGCCCACCCCTGCCTAGCCTGACTTTCAGTAACAGACTGAGGTTCAGCACCACTCAATGAACTGTGAGAGGGATTGGCAGAGATTTCAGCATCCATCACCAATATATATAAAGTGGACTTACTTAGTTTCCACACTATATACTAAAATATATAGAAAATCAAAGATGTTCCTTACCTTGTGCATTTAGTGATGTGGTTTTTCATTTTATTTAAAGGAATGTTAATGTCACAATTCAGGCATTTTGTGGGGGGTCCTTGTTGCTGGAGGGTTGTCAGGCTCTACAGAGAATATGGAGATAAATATATATATATATATATATTATGAATGACAGGGGATTTCTAAAAATCACCCTGTAATTCTTCAGCTAAGACACCTGAGTTAGAAAACATAGAGACTGCAGTCGATTTTCACACGCTGTGGGCAGCAATGACGCACCTTGCGAACTGCGCCTGCTGCCTGCGTACTTTTATTTTATACATGTTGTGTGTTTGTGTGTGTGTGTGTTGTGTGTGTGTGTGTGTGTGTGTGTGTGTGTGTGTGTGTGTGTGTGTGTGTAAAAATAACAACGTCACTCAGAAAAAACAGAATCAGCACATAATAAAAGCACGCTCTGCAAACCTGCAGTTTCCTGTCTACATCTGTTCTCTGAAAAACAGGAAGTGGTTCAGTAGCTGGCACAAAAGTTATTAAGTGAAAAGTCACATAGACATTTAGATCACTTAGCACATTTCATGAAGCTGATCAAATTATATAAAAACAAAAATCTCTTGACAATTCTATATATATAGATATCTATCTATCTATCTATCTATCTATCTATCTATCTATCTATCTATCTATCTATCTATCTATATGTATATATATATGTATATATATATATAACACACAACACCCAGCACGCCCCTGCGGGCGGTTTATCCTTCAAGCTCGGGTCCTCTACCAGAGGCCTGGGAGCTTGAGGGTCCTGCGCAGTATCTTAGCTGTTCCCAGGACTGCGCTCTTCTGGACAGAGATCTCCGATGTTATTCCCGGGATCTGCTGGAGCCACTCGCCTAGCTTGGGAGTCACTGCACCTAGTGCTCCGATTACCACGGGGACCACCGTTACCTTCACCCTCCACATCCTCTCGAGCTCTTCTCTGAGCCCTTGGTTTTCCAGTCGTCCTTCTTCTTGCGTATTACGGCCGTCTTCTTCTGTTTGTCTACCACCACTATGTCCGGTTGGTTAGCCACCACCATTTTGTCCGTCTGTATCTGGAAGTCCCACAGGATCTTAGCTCGGTCATTCTCCACCACCCTTGGGGGCATCTCCCATTTTGACCTCGGGACTTCCAGGTTATACTCGGCACAGATGTTCCTGTACACTATGCCGGCCACTTGGTTATGGCGTTCCATGTATGCCTTGCCTGCTAGCATCTTGCACCCTGCTGTTATGTGCTGGATTGTCTCTGGGGCATCTTTACACAGCCTGCACCTGGGGTCTTGCCTGGTGTGATAGACCCCAGCCTCTATGGATCTTGTACTCAGAGCTTGTTCTTGTGCTGCCATGATTAGTGCCTCTGTGCTGTCTTTCAGTCCAGCTTTGTCCAGCCACTGGTAGGATTTCTGGATATCAGCCACCTCCTCTATCTGCCGGTGGTACATACCGTGCAGGGGCCTGTCCTTCCATGATGGTTCCTCGTCTCCCTCCTCTTTCTTGGGTTTCTGCTGCCTGAGGTATTCACTGAGCACTCGGTCAGTTGGGGCCATCTTCCCAATGTATTCTTGGATGTTCGTTGTCTCATCCTGGACTGTGGTGCTGACACTCACCAGTCCCCGGCCCCCTTCCTTTCGCTTAGCGTTGTAAAATTATGATATTATTTTATGCCATGTTAGACCCCGAAATAAAGATTGTGAATTATTATGTAGTTTAAGTTGGCATTATTCTCCTGAATTAGAAGAAGGTGATAATTATTGCAGTATTTAAACTGATTTGCATTGCATTAGACTGCTGATTTATTGTGAATGAATGATATTGTTTATGATGCATTATACTGTTGAGTTATAAGGAATACTGTTCGCAGAAAGTCATCGCCTTATTTGTCTGATTAGAAGAGAATAGAACATGCTGGAGTTTTCTGCCCCATCTCAGCACGAGCAGATAAACAGGGAGCCAAGGTCGTAGCTTAGGCGCCGTGTGAGAGAAAGAATGTGAATGTTTAGGCTTTTATGATAAGATGGGAGAACCAGAGGCTATAAGAGTTTGAGCAATGCTCCACCACTTTGAGATTTGAGGCTGTCTGCATCAGTGTCCATCTCCCACGTGTGTGATCATTAAATCATCGTTTGACTCAACCCGACCGGACCAGTGTTGTTATTGTGGTTTTTCTCTTGTCTCCATCCCCAATATTTTGAACCTTAACATTTTGGGGGCTCGTCCTGTGGTATTGGGGTGGAATTTAAAAGTTTGGACGGTCCGAGGTTGTCGAACGGACAGGCACGAGCCAGTGGTCTGATTTGAGTGGACAAAAGCCGGCTTATCTAAAGGTAAGGCACTACCTGTTGAATTATTTCCAAAGTGTGCCAAATTGGATATGACTAAATTAAAGTCTACTCACTGAAATTACTGGTAGAGTGTCTGTTTTGATTTTGATGAGAATCACCGTGTGTTATGCAGTTAAAGTTGCTTAAGAGTATTTAATGAAGTTGAAGAAATATGAAACTGTTCCCAGAAGTAACAGAGAATGTTGGGTTTGAGTCCCTGGATATTGAGCTGAAGGCTCAGGTAGTTTGTAGGGAAATTAGGACAGAAACTGTTCCAGAAGTAACAGAGACTGTTTAATTGGTCGTAAAAAAGTTATCTTTCTTCGGTTGGACCCGTTATGGTAAAATTTCTCAAAATCGGTTAGGTGAAAATTATTATAGGACGGCACATGGAAGTTGCTAAGAAGCACATAGCCCGGAGGTTACTGCTCCCTCCTAGTCGTGGACGCGCGGCTTTGACCTGTCGGCGAACAGGGTTAGTTCAGTTTGGCTTATCTGTGGGGTACAGGGCATCCCGGAAATCAAGCTAGGAGTTACCGAGTCTCCTCACCGTTTTAAACGGTGTCATGTGCTTGTTTGGATACTGTTAAATTGAGTTAGGGATTTTAGAAATTAGGTCAGAAACTGTTCCAGAAGTAACAGATACTGTTTAATTGATTACAAAAAAGTTAACTTTCTTCGGTTGGACCCGTTATGGTTAAATTTGTCGAAATTGTTTAGGTTCTTTAGAAATCAGGCCATAGGCTGTTCTGGAGGAAACAGATACTGGTTAATTGATTACTCGTTATTTTAAATTTGTCGAAATTTGTTAGGTGCTGAATCTGTTAGGCCTGTCAGTGATTGTAAATACAAGACGTCTTTTGTAATATAAAATAATAGAGTTTTGCCTGAGCTTGGTGTGAGACTGTGTGTGACGTGCAGCTGCGGCGCTGAGGGCTATTTTTAGACTGTGTGTGAACATGCAAATGAGCTGTGAACTACACAGAGGACTTTTGCTTCCTGTTTAGTGTGTTTTGTGGGATTTGCAAATAATGATACAAGCTTGTAATAAAAACGCTGATTTTGTTGATTATAATATTATAAATAAGGATTTGAATGACTACGCTGAATGTTTGATGTTCGGCTGGATTTTAATATAGAAGAGATAAATTGTGTTTGAGTAAGACCGGCACTTCAGTCGGCAGAGTGTGATTGTGATGAAAATGATATTAAATAAATCTCTTAGTGTGTTGATACAGGTGGCTACGGGCCTGGACCACCCGGCCCCATGAGCAAACAAAAAGTTAAGTTAACCCACCTACAAACGCACATACACGCAATGAAGAAACAGCTTACACCCATGAACATGTGAAGATTTTCCAGCAAGTTTAAAGCAGTGAAGCTTAACATACACCCGCCGTTACACAATAAAGGTTATCCACTACTAACGAATAAACTCTCTGGGTTGCAGGACAACATCTTAACTTCAAAAAAAAAAAAAAAAAAAACACTGGTCTGACAAACCAGTGAAGATATGACAAATTTAGTGGTTAGAAAAGTCAAATTGTGACAAGTTTTCTGCCGATTGATAAATATAGGTGATTACTGAATGAAAGAAAATTATATTATATAATTAATATTATAATATAATATAATATAATATAATATAATATAATATAATATAATAAGAATAATTATTATTATAATATTGTTACTTATTTGAATTATTTATACAACACATATAGATATAATATGTTCTGAAAGAAAAAGAGAACATTTTAAAATACAAACACTCTGAATACAGTTAACTCAGACATTTCAGTTTCAAGAAATGCTTCACAGGTTGTGTTAACAAAATACATTTAAGCTAAAGACAGTTCACATATATGGGGCGCCCTATACACATAGGTTTCAATTTAAATACAAAATATTGTTTCAGTTTTTATTTTTCCTTAAGTTTAGTTTTACATTTCAGTTAACTGGATTTTTCACACTTGAGTTTTTAGTTCAATGTTAGATCACTATAAATAATTCATATTTAAGCAGCTCTGACAGACACCCGAACATTCTGCTGCACTTGATATTAGTCCAACTGAAGATCATAATTTGCTGTAGTAACGTCTCTTCCCTCATTCCCCTCCACAGACGGATTTACACAGATCTCGGTCAGACCAACATCACTGACGAGAGACGAAAAGTCACCATCTTGATGCAAAGTGCTTTATGGTTTAGGTGAGGAAGATCAGCGCGAGGTTCATGAACATCGCATAGAGAAGAGTAGGAAGTCGATAAACTGCGATAAGGGCTGTCGATGCTACTTTTTTTTTCAGTGGGAAAACGATGTCCACGCTATCCCTGGTGGGATCACACACAAGGAGGAAACAACTGAGGTCCACCAAGTGTCTTGCAGAGATGAGAAGAAGAAAAAAACATAGGCGCTACCGGACCCCTGTCTGTGTGGCTTCCGCAGCGTTAAACGTCGAAGCAGCTACCTCTGCTTACCACAAACACACGTCTCCGGTACGCTGCGCCTATCATTGCCCACACAGCGCATATATGTGCGCAATATGTCGCTGTGCTATCTGGGGAATCAAGAAGCTGTAAACTTTCAGAGGAAGTGAACTGCCGACGGTTAGACAGAGAAGAAAGCAGCGATGCCTGAGTCAAACGAGGAAGCTAAGATTATTCCCTACTGCAAAACACCAGTATCCGTAGAGCGTGTAGTACTATATCTTCTGTGTGGTGTATGTGTTCTATGTCTTCTACTTGCTGTTCTTATTACTTGTTTGGTATGTCGGTGTGATAAGGACCATAGTCCTAGTTGCACTTTCTTAAAAGCTGCAGTGGCCGCAGACTCCGGGAAATGTTCAGAGATTGGACGGTGAGTAACATTTTAAACTTCTGACACAATTTTTGTTTTTCACATTACACATAATATTATGCACTGTTCCAAATACAAACATCTTTGAGAACTGTGTAACCCGCGTCTCATCATGGAGGTGTGCGGTTGTTGTTTTTTTCTCTATATCTTTTTACAAGACAACTACTCAGAACTTCTCGTTCTTTACAAAACCAATATGCCATTTCATAAAAGGCTAAATTCAGTCCGATCTGCATAATACAGGTCAATGCAGAATCTTCACGCCATTTCCCTATTTACGAGACATTCTACCGGACAAACCTTATTACATTATCGTAAATAAAACGCTAATGTAATGACGTTTAAAAAGAAATAAAACAAACACTTGTTAGTCGCTTTTTTTTTAGTTGATTCGTTAAGAAATGTGTTATTCTTTAGATTCTCAGATGGCTTTTCTTCTTAATTAACTTACATTTAAAAATGACGTCCTGACAAACGGATTGTCCACAGCAAAATCTGCATTAGCCTACATCTTTCATAGGTCATGTATGTCAAAAATAAATCTTTTTATTCCCACTTACCGCTATTGTCTTCTCGTCTCTCTTCCTCTACTTCTCTCTCTCTCTCTCTCTGTGTGTGTGTGTGTGTGTGTGTGTGTGTGGGTGTGTGTGTGTGTGTGTGTGTGTGTGTGTGGTGTGTGTGTGTGTGTGTGTGTGTGTGTGTGTGTGTGTGTGTGTGTGTGTGTAATCGAGAACCCCATCGTCCACTTCAAAGATCCGGATCTAAGACCCTGGACTGACAAATCAGTATTTTTACTGACATCGTCTGACAATATAGAGGCATATATATATGCCATATATATATGCCTCTATATTATTCCCTATAGGGAACATAGAGGCATATATATATATGCCTCTATGTTCCCTATAGGGAATAATATCCCAGTATCACGGTAAAGCATGTAATAGATGTGCTGGTCCAACATGTGGCTATCACGCTTTGCCTCTCCTAAGCATTACATTTAAACGCATACTTAAGTTGCAGTACAACAGTGATGTTGTATTTCAAGCCAACATGAAAACAAATGTTTAAAGAGATATTACCAAAACTTTCACATATAAATGCATATCAGCACCTACCATAACAATACCTGGTATAGAAGGAGCCTGGAATGTAATTCATACTCCTTAGTAAGTGCACTTGTTTAAGTCACAGTTCTAGTATCAAGTCTTCCCAGTCCCCTAAAGAATTCAGCTTACATTCACCATTTTTCTGATTCTGTCATTTCTTTTTTTAAGTACTCAGCTTTTTCTCATGTAGGGTTCAATTCAGTTAATTTAAACCTTGTAATCTGCCATCTTATTTTACCTCTTTTTGCTACAACTTTCAATATTTTTCTTAGTTTATTTGTTTGAAACAGTATGTAACCATTTTACTTGCACTTTTTAATTTGCAAACACAATGCTACTGTCTTTTCTTCTATGTTGGATACAAACTTTAACTTCCCCACTAATGTACAAATATTTGGATCAAAATAAAGTTGGTCCTCCTTATTCACCTAAATTCAGTGCAGTTACTAAAACCTAACACAGGATTAAATCCACAGAGCACTGCTTTCACTTTTAAACTGTTGTTTAAATTGCTTTTCTACTTAAACCGAGCACTCAAAGTGCTCGGTTTAAGTAGAGAGCTTTGCGGTCAGCTTCATCTGTCCAGCATCAAACCCTATGCAAAAAACCTTGGTGTGATATTTGACATATTTAACTTGGTGGTTAAATACTGAAATGAGGACTTTTCTTTCCATGAAAGATGGTGAAATTGTAATTCATGCTCTCATTTCCTCCCACTTGGATGACTGCAAATGACCTTACACTGGTCTCAGTCAGTCCTCTCTGCCCTGTCTCCAGCTTGTCCACAGTCCTGATGCTAGGCTCCTCACAGACACCTGAAAAAGTGGCTGTTTAGATTTCAAGATCCTCCTGTTTGTCTGCAAATGATCAGGTTAATTTAATTGTGGGACATGATTGAGAAATAAAATTCAATGAAGTGTGCATCCTTAGCACATGCAATAACAACAAAGACAACACATTGTTGTGTTATTCAGTCAAGGCAATTTAATTGACATTACAATTGTAACCCTTGTGGTGGCCTAGGTGAATGGCAAACAAGCATATGGGAATCCCGAGGACACCACTAAAATTAAATTCATTGTGCGCCTCTAACACACATGATAACAATAACACTAGAGTGATAACGATGAACTGTTTTAGGGACATTCTTCGGAAAGGCGGCTCTGCAGTAGATGCTGCCATTGCTGCGCTGCTGTGCACCTCCATCATCAACCCACAGAGTGCGGGGATCGGAGGCGGGGTCATATTCACTGTGATGGACAGCTCTGGTAACAAAACACCCTCGCTCCTCTTTGCTCAGCCCTGCTGGGGAATAACATAATAATATGTCATCTTTTCAAAGGTAAAGTGAAAATCATCAACTCCAGAGAGACTGTCCCCAGGAAGGTGAACTCTGACCTGTTTAAGTCGTGTCGTAAAACCACAGAGTGGAGCAAGGAGTGGCTGGAAGGTGGGCTGTTTTTCTGCCATAATGCTAATATTTATAATGTTTTAGTCTAATCTGCTCTTGGACTCACATTTATGCCACAGTTAATTTATTCTGTACAGGTCACTGCTAATGCACACTGTGAGTCATTCCTCTTTCCTCAAGAAAGCAAAACTAGGATACTATAAAAAGAAAAGAAAAAAGAGATCAAGCAAACCACTACAGAGGGTTTGGGCACTGGCAGTTATTAAAGACAATGAGTTGGTGTTGTATATGACACTATCAGAATAATCTAGCATAAATTAACACCATGAAACACATGCTCCTTAGTTTCAGAAACAACCAGAGAGATTGAAGTAGTCAGGTCTTTCTCCAAACAGGTCTTAACAGGTCTTTCTCCAAATCATGCACAAGATGTAACACAAAAGTTTTAAAGGTGTAGTCAGTTATCTGTAGAAGTATTTTTTACATTCTGCACTTTAGTCTACAAGACAAACTCAAGATATGAAGGATCATACCTTTGTTTTATCACCTGAGAGGGTTCTGGTCACCAAAGAAGCGAAGGAAAGAGACAGCATGACAGGTATCTTGTTAAAATGTCATCCTCCTCCTCACTTCAAACCTCATCTCCTGAACTAAAGTCAGGACCCTAACACGCTAAGGAGTGCATAAACATTATTATTTAGTTACTGTAAGGAGGCAAGGCAGTCAACAACAAACCAGCTAAACATCAACAGCTGGTTATAAGCTAACATTAAAGCAGGCTTGAGTTTCCTAATTATGGAAGTTCAGGATATCTTAAACAACTCGCCTCAGTATCGTTATCGCATGGACACGAGCTTCACTGACACACACACACACACACACACACACACACACACACACACACACACACACACACTTAAACTAGGACAAAACAATTGGACAAAAGAACAAAACACTAAAGACAGGACCCTCAGATGAGACAGAGACAGACTGGACACAAAGAAAACATAATCAAACTCAAAATACAAGAAAATTATTTACTCAGCAACAAAAACATAAATGATCTTATACTTCTTCAAAGAAATAATCAACAAGTGCAGAGAAATTCAAATACCGGGTCAAAAAACCCACATTTTTATTTGCCAAAGGATTCTAGCTGCTCCACAGTCCTGGGTCCTTTTTGTCATATCTTTCATTTCATCATGCACCCAATGTGTTTTTTTTTCTTGGTCAAAGGTTTGAACTGCAGGCAGGCCATTTTTCCACACCCAGGTACTTCTACTGTGAAGAGATGCTATTGTAATAGATGCAGTATGCGGTTTAGCGTGGTCTTGCTGAAATAGATGTCAACTCGATGGAAGCATAAGTTGCTCTAAGACCTGTGTACACCTTTCAGCACTGCTGTGCATTGCCAGATGTGCAAGCAGCCAATTCCATAGGCAGTAATGTAATCACCTTCAAAGGTTTTGAATTGAGCCGTGATAACAAGCTGCACATTTGCCAAATTCGACCTGTGCAGGCTGTACCCTGCTTCTTGCCCTAAGAGAGCTGGGATAGGCTCCAGCCGCCCTACAACCCTGAAAAAGGATAAGCGCCAAAGAATGGATGGATTTGATACTGATATCAGTGATGGTATTGATACTATCGATATTTGGATTGACCTGTCCACCTCTAATAGAATTATCAATGTGAGTCTGCAGAGAATGTCCACACATAAAGTCTTCATACAATAAAAATATAATCGTCACATTAAACAGCTTCTAAGAGAAAGATCCGTTTCTGAATGGGCTGTTCAACAATAGACAGCTTGCCAGAATGCTGTCCCATCTTTCCCATTTTCTGGTCTCCAGATAATATAAATTAATATAAATCCAGGACGAATCTTAAATTTCCTCACAAGTCCATCTTTATCAGTCATTGTTTCTAATTTGGCTAATCTCCGCTCGTTCCCTGGCAGATTATCTGTCTGTGGAGGTGAAGCTGGAAATGTTGTGAGATCCTGAAGTGGGGCCAGAGACACAGGCTGCTGTGGATGCACATGTCCCTGTCTCTTATGTTGCTGTCAGCAGAGTACAAATGACCCTCCTGCATTACTCCCTGATCATCTATAGTGTTTTGACTTTGAAGCGAAGCTGTGGATCCATATATAGCATCAGCATAGTCTCTGTTAAGAAGTGTCTTTTGAGTATGGGATGGACAGCAATAAGAACTGGGAGTATTTCTTGGAGCAGTTCACTTGTGGCAGATATGAAAAATAAAGAAAATAGAAATTAGAATATGTGTGAGAAAGATGGATCAAGGAAAGAAAGGGGGCTACAGACACCATTTATTTATATGGCCCAGAGTTCTGTGCTACACTCCTGCACACAGGCTGCATAAACAGTAAGAAAAGTAAGTATAAGATGCTAAATGCTTCTTTGAGCCAGAAATAGTGTAAATATAGTGAAATAAACTTAAAATAACTGTAAGATGCAAAATGTTATCTCTAACATAATCAGTTACAAACAGACACACATTTCCCTCTGAAATGGAGCAGAATAGAATAGAGTATTTACAAAGCACCAAATTATAACAAATGTCATCTCAGATCATTAAAGGTCAGGACCTTACAGTTTACTTAAAACCTGAGCAAATGTATGTGTGACTTTCCAGCACTGACTACCCATTATCTGTCTAACCAGATAGAGGATGGATTGGGGTTCCTGGGGAAATTCGAGGTTATGAAGCAGCACACCGACTTTATGGGAAGTTGCCGTGGGCCGACCTCTTTCAGCCGACCATCAAATTAGCCAGAGAAGGATTCCCTATTCCTTACTACCAAGGTCAACACATCCCACGCATTAATAATACGTCAATACGGTATGAAAAACACCCACAATGTGATTTCAAAAATACAAAGAGCAAACGATGAATGTTTCAGCTTTATTTCACTGTCTTTGTCTTTTAGGGAGTTATATTTAGACAAAAATGGAAACCTGCTTAAGACCGGTGATACTGTGAAGTTTGAGAAACTGGCTGACACTTTGGAGACGATCGCAAACGAGGGACCAGATGTGTTTTACAACGGAACAATAGCAAAGAATTTAATCAGTGACATTCAGGATGCAGGTATTATCAGACGGGTTTCATCCTGCTCTCTTTCTGACCGTTTTCTATGTCTGCCAGGCACAATGATCTAATTACAAATTAAAAAATCGATTGGATTTGGAAAAATCTAACATGATCCCTCATAGGCTACACTGTGATCTGTCTGGATCCATTCAAAGTCTTGATTATGAGATGTGTTGTGTTCATTTTTGCTCAACAGAATAATTTGTTTCACTGTTTTTGCTCAGGAGGAAAACTCACACTGGAGGACTTGGCATCGTATCAAGCTAATGTGACTGATGCGTGGAATATTTCTTTGGGAGAGTATAAGCTGTACTTCCCTCCGCCCCCTTCAGGGGGAGCCATCCTCAGCCTCATCCTCAATATCATGAAAGGTTCCTGATTGTTGCTTCTAGCATGTAGAGTTTGTTTCATATAGGACAATGATCCTTATCAATCTTTACAAATGTGATACACTAAGAAATGATGTTTTAAATAAAAGAAATAACAATTATTTATATTTTCAGGATACAAAATGAATTCAGAACCTAAGACGACTGATGAAAAGATTTTGTTTTATCACCGTTATATTGAAGCTTTAAAATTTGCCAATGGATTAAAGAAATATATCCGAGATCCAAACTTCAGCTCAGATAAAGTAAGTATCTCAAAATCCTACAGATTTGCACCTGCTTTATTGCATATAGTATGATTCTATTTAAGTGACTAAACAAGTAAAAGTAGCAATACCACATCACAAAACACAAAACAAATAGTGCAAAATATTTAAAGGGGATGCCCTGGTTTCAATATGAGCATATAGCATTGTTAGCTCAATTTACTTATAATTATAAATGTACCTATTTAATTTATAATTATCAGTATATTTGAAAAATCAAGCTGCACCTCTCCTCCAGGCAGAGGTGGGAAGTAACGAAGTACAAATATTTAGTTACTGTACTTAAGCAGAATTTTCAGGTATCTGTACTTTGAGTATGTATTGTTTTACTTTTACTCCCTACGTTTATAAACAAACATCTGTCCTTTCATCTCCTTACACTTTAAAAATAGGCTCTTTTGCTTTAAAGCATTTGATGGAAGTTATTATTTTGTCACTGCGAGCCTTTAAACATCAATCCGATTTAAGTCGAAACAGCAACACATGAAAGGTAATCCTATTGATTTATTAATCACAAGAGGCTGTGCAACGTTTCTGTCTGCTCAACAAACATCAGCAAACACACAGACTATTTGTGTGCAGCTTGTCTCACAGTGTGTTGCTAGCTAAAGGTCCAGCTGCTGTTTTTCACAGGGAGAGATAAGAAAGAGAGCCAACTTCACTTAGATTCACTCAAATTTTTAACACTAGTTACTTCTACTTGCCACCTCTGCATCCAGGCCCTGGTGTGTTACTAAAACAGGGGGGACATGATGAAAATAATGAGCCTCTGCTCTGCCTGAGCCCACTGCTTCACCCCTTGCCTGCAGTTATCAGCAAACTTCACCCCACCACAGTCAGTCTATGCACATTGATAATGAGTTGAGGTGAGAAGAGATCTGAAGTTTTTTGTAATATCTCTGACCTTTGCACAGTCGGACTTTAGGTTAATTTGCTGGAGTGAGATTGTGACTATGTGTTTACAAAGTGCTTTTACAGAGTTGTTCACCCTTCCTAATTATCAGCTAATCAGGGGCATTTGATTATCAGTACCTGGCTGCTACTTACAATTAAAGTTCTTATAGAAGCACTAACGGTGTCCTTCACAGGTCTGTTTAGAGTACTATGAAAAATTTCCCAGTAACTCTGCATTTTCATTTCAGCATAATTCTGATGAAACTTTTGAAACATTTAAGTATGAATAAAAGTTTTCAAAGCACATAAACCTAAATTGCTTTATTATTTGTCTCTAAGTATTTTAATGTGTATTATTATCATTTTAGTATTTGTCCGTTTTGTGTAATGTGATGTTTTCCAATGCTCTGTTGTTCACACAGACGGCAAAGCATTTCAGAGAATATATCTTTGCCAGTTACATATGGAGTTTGATCACTAAACAGTGTCATAACCCCCTAGTGTTAATTACACCTTGACCTCATATCTGGACAGCATCAGTACCACACATTGGTCTGTGCTGGCTGAAGATGCTCCTGCTGTGTCTGTCAACAGCAGCATCAGTGATGCATCAATGATCAAAACTCTGTTAACATTTGCCTGTTACTGGTTAATTTTCTTGATGGCAATGTATTTCTGTAATGTGCTTATTTAATTAGTTTTAATTCATTTTATTAATTCTCTGTATTTCACACAGATGGCAAAGAATTTGATAGAGGATAGCTTTGCAGACAGCAAACGGAGCTTGATCAGCAGCGACAAGACTCATGATCCCCAGTATTACGGCGACACCTCACATATGGACAGCATCGGCACCACACATGTATCTGTGCTGGCTGAAGATGGATCTGCTGTGTCTGTTACCAGCAGCATCAACGACGAGTCAGTACCTGCATCATTCTGTTTCACTGTTAGAAACCAGCTATCAGATTTTTTTTTTTCTTGAACCTGAAGATTTAAGACATTATGGAGGAACTTATTTTTAGACTATTTTTGTACTACAAAGAGTGTCTTGGTGTTGTAGTTAATTTAATGTTTATTCTTTACAGATTTGGCTCCAGGGTCCTCTCTCCAAGCACTGGAATCATTCTCAACAACCAGCTGACTGACTTCTGTAATAGAACTAATAGCGTCTCTCCTGGTAAGAGATCAGCAGGATGCTTTTTACATTTATTATTTATGAAATACAAGTAATCAGACGAGGAAGGCGGATTATTTAAAAACTAATACTACAAAGAGTTAAATTTTTTTCTTGAAATTATTTTCCTGAGAGGACATTTTTTTTAAGTTATTTCTAATAATAGCAAAATAGTACCATTGAGGAAATCAGAAGAGAAAATGGCATTTCGTAATTTATTGTGACGCATCATCTGACCATTCATGGAAACAATATAAATATAAGCAAAATATATATTATAATATAAATGTCACGGCGAGTGAGAAGAGCCGTGTAGAAAAGGAAAAGGAGGATCCACACGCAGGCAGTCGTAAAGGTGTAAAAGGTGATTTATTGGACACAAAAGGAGAGGCAAACGGCAACACGGAGAACTAAACTATACTGGGAAACAACTAAAACTACAAAGCACAAACCTGAATGAGAATGAGCAGAGGAGAATGATGATGGACAGCAGGGAGAACACACGGGTGAGACATGGTAGATACACAGATGACGCAGGGTGGAATACACAGACGGACCAGCAACAACAATGACTGAAGACATGACTTAAATACACAGAGAACCACAGGGGAATTACACACAGGTGGTGGACACAGCTGGGAATAATCAACAAGACGAGACAAAGGTAAAACTGAACGCACTCACATGAGACGCAGACCTTCACAATAAAACAGGAAACAAAACACACTTTACTAAGACACAGACTAGACAGAGACAGACTTGAAATGACATATGAAACTAAACCCACATCTTAAACCCAGATAAACAGAACATGGAACTCTAATAATAGACATAAACATTACCATAACACGACAAGAGAACAAGAACACAATCCCTGATGCAAACTTAAATCAAAACACAATAAACTCAAAATACTGGGTCCAACGGACCCAGAACCGTGACAATAAATTTGGATTAAAATTGCATTTTCTAATGTCATAGCCTGCTAAAATGTTTTCAACAACAGGCACAGTTGAGCTCTGAGTGACCTTCTATAAACACAAATTACATAAACTCTCTAAATCTGTGTTAGTGAGCCTTCTCCTTTGCCGAGTAATCCACCACCTCACAGTGGGCATATCAGGTGCTGATTAGACACGTATGAATATTGCAAAGGTGTGCCTTAGACTTGCCATCAATAAAAGGCCACTCTAAAATGTGCAGTTTGATCACACAGCACAATGCGCTGGCACTTCAGAGCATGAAAATTATGGGCTCAAATTGTGGTCATAAATATTTTGTACTTGTAAATCAGGATTTGTATGTGTAAAAAAATTTGTGTGGTAAAAGATTTGTGTGTGGACTTAGCCAAAAAATACGTGTGAAACTCTGCACTCAAGTTTCAAGTTACAAGTACGAATTTTGACCCTATTTTTCTTCCTTTCATGCTGATTGGTCAATGTCATGTCAATCACAAATTTAACAATCCAATCAGAGAACAGATGGGTTTGCTGTTGGACACACACAAATCTTTCATACACACACACAAATTCTTTTTACACATACAAATCCTGATTTACAAGTACAAAATATTTATGACCATGATTTGAGCCTATAAAAATCCGGGGTTCCGAGGGTCCAAGGGAAGGGTCCAGAGGAAAACTCTCTTGCACTCATTCTCTTCTCCTATACTCCAACACACACACGTCCACCCAGCGGGAAGGTCACGGGTTCGGGGAGGAAAACTATCACACAGGAAAGGCAGGTTACACAAAGTCACGAATCTTACACAAGCTAACATTCACAAGAGCTAGAGAGGATCACTAACGTGTCTTGCACAATCATCCAGCGACGAGAAGGTCTGCGTTTCAAAGCAAAAACACATGTAGCCTTGCCGTCTCAGGGAAACTCATCTGCATGCTCATCGTCCTCATCAGGGTCTGGACCTGACTGCAGTTTGTTGTCGTAACCAACTTAAGTGGAAAAATGCTCACATTTGATGGCGTCTGGCACGCTGGAGTGGCGTTCTGTTCACAGATGAGTCTCGATTTTCACTGTTCAGGGCAGATTCCAGACAGCGCGTGTGGCCTCGTGTGGGTGACCGGTTTGCTGACGTCAACGTTGTGGATCGAGCGGCCCATGGTGGCGGTGGAGTTCTGGTATGGGCAGGTGTATGTGCAACTTCGCACAGCTATTGTAGAGTGGACCAACATTCTACAGCCCACAATCAACAACCTGATCAATGCAACGGAGACGTGTTGCACTGCGTGAGGCAAATGGTGGCCACACCAGATACTGACTGCTTTCTACTTTTGTCCTGCAATTCAAGGTCTTTCTTGTATTTCTCAGGGGAGCGGCCTCCCTCCAATATGGCCCCTTCTGTGCTGAAGTCTCCATCGAAGACGCTGGTGATTGGAGGGTCTGGTTCTGAAATGATTCCACCGGCTGTGGCCTCGGTACGTATGCATGGTACACACAAAGGTGCCATTACATATTAAATAAAATAAATTGATGCAGACTGATGCCCGTCTTTGCTGTTTAAGCTTGGCCCATAGTGACAAGATTCTTCACACTAATTTATCCTGTAATCATCACTTTATCATCTCATGGAATTATTTTTTCTCTTCAAGGCGCTCATGAACCACCTTTGGTTTGGAAAGAGCCTTAAGGAGGCAATTATTACTCCTGTTGTTTTTGTTGACTGTCAAAGTGAAATAAAACTTGAATCGAAGCTTGAAAAGGTAATATATTCAGTGTATTCAAATGATAAAAGCCTTGTTCTATTTCTCTTGTTCCATCTGAGTCTCTCTCCTCTTTGCCCTGCAGGATGTAGTTGATGGTCTTGAAGCTAAGGGACATAAAATAGCAAAATTCTACAACACAGTTAATGCTGTGGAAAAGGCGGGCAGCTGTATCTCTGCATGGTCTGATGAAAGGAAAAAAGGCAAAGCAGCTGGTTACTGAGACCAAGAGTCAGTGATGTCAGTTATATAGCATGGTCTTAAGGTTATGGACACTGCTGTAGCTACAACATTGGACAATCTATATTCGTCTGTTAACTAATAGATCATTCATGCTTTACACATGTGTCTAAAAAAGTTTGTTATATTGAAAACATAATGCGATAATCAGATTATTTAAATCCAATGTCACATGCAAAATAGTGCAAAGACAGCATTGTAAAAACGATGTTGTTGTTTTGTTTTTAATTTCAGGGGTTGCTGTTGATATCCGGCTTTTTAAAATAAAAAATAAAAAAATCAATATGACCTTTTAAATATTTGTTCATTTTGGTTTTTGATACACAGAATAGGCTAAACAAGGTCACAGCTTTCAGGCTGAAATGTGAAGCCCATGCCTTTTCCTTCAACCTGCATTCTTTCTAAGCAGCAGGCCAGCAGGACGAGACTGACTGCAGAAATCTTTGGTTTTATAAAAGATTGTTGGAAAAAGAGCTACAGACTTCATGTTCCATTCCACCAGTAAACAATTCATATTTTCAAGTCTTATCAAATTCATGTTTATTTTGTAAATTTTAGCCCACTGGATTGTCCAGAAGGGAGATAAAATAGGGCTTCCCTAAAGTGTACCCTAAGTTATCAATTGATTTGTAATTAAAAAAAAAAAAAGACCAGCATAACCTGCAGTTACTGTTACAGGTATGTCAGCATCAACAAAGCTGGAACTCACAGACTGTTAGAGCCAAATAGAAAGGTCAGTTTTTTATTTGAATATTAGTAGCTACATTTAAATGCTTTTTAGTATTGTTTTTTTTTTTTATTCAGTTTGCGTATTAAGATTTTATTTTATTTTTTTTGCTTTATTAGTTCATCCTGCTATTGTTGTGCTGTTATAAAGTGTGGGTAATTCTGCTGATATGGTCAGGGTAAAAGTTAATCTGGCAAGCAGTTTGCGAAGCAACAGTTTGCCTTTATAGTTGTTTAATGTGTTTTACTGATAGATATAGATAACCCAGACTTGAACGGATATGTTTTATTTTGAAACTCTCAATTTTGTGTACAATAAAGTCCTTTCTTCAGTGTTTAATGTCTGCCTTGTTTTCATTATTGGATTACATCCAAGCTGCCTTTTGGAAATCACGATTCAACAACTTTGTTTCCAATCTTGCATGAAAATACTGAGTAGTCTTGTCCAGTGCATTAAAGCACTGTGTGTGACTGTGGTGCCTATGGTCAGCCTGCAATCCACAGCCACGACACTCTCTCTCCACGCTACACCATAGCCTCCGTTAAACGTCCTGACATCCTTTCCCCACCTATTGCTTTTATTCATGAGATGAGAAGACTCCACTTAGGCAAGTCTGCTGAACCAGATGGGGGTGAGTCCCCATGTCCTCAAGACCTGTGCCCCAAAGCTTTGTGGAGACTTTCATAAACTCTTCATGAAGAACCTGAGTCTGCAGAGGATCCCAGTGCAGTGGAAGACACAGTTAGTAACTTAGTTACATTACTAGTTACTTTTATCAAAAGTAACTATTTGCTTACTTGCCACAAGTGCACTGTGCCACCTACCAACGGAAAGGAAAAAATAATGTGCATATTTCCACAAGAGAAATCCCACGCTTGGACCGTCGTTGACCGACGCCATGATTCTAGCCTGCGTCACAGCGTCATGTGCGC